GACCAGCAATGCGTTGGGACTAATTTTAATCCGCTTTAAATGGGACCTTTTTTAACCTTTTATTTTTGTAAATAAATTATTGTTTTATACCAACATCGTCACTTGTGTTCTTTGCTGCAGCTACGTGCTCCGCCCCTATCACTAGTGATGGGTTTATGAAGCCTCATGAAGTGTTGAACCTTTCCATCTATTGGTTAGAAAAAAGGTTCATTTCTTGACGCTTCATATGCTCACAAACCCCCTGTTGGTCAAAATCTGTATTGACATTTGAACTGTTTGTGAGGCTCTTGCTGCATAGGAATTAATACTGGTAACAGAAATACAAATTTATTTTGATTGTGTATGACCCATTAATTCATCTCTTTGATCATGATCAATATCATTAGTAATAACGAATATATTTTAAATGACAAAATTATAGATAAGATAAGAATTCCTTTATTCGTCCCACAGTGGGGAAATTTCGTATGAAATAATGTACTGGTAAATGGTACAGTTGTCTGCTCTAATACACAAACAAACATATAGATATATATATATAGATATTTAATAATGACTGATTGTAGCTTGTCAAGTCAAAATCAATGTAATAAATCCAATAGGACAGAAGACATATGTTGAAAGTGTAAGTGCCTTTCAAAGGCTGTGACACAGATGGGGATATAAATTGGGATTGTGACCCTATCAGTTGTTTAAAACCAATAACTTTTTGCAGGTATTTAAAAATAAATGAATTGGTGAGACTGTGTTCTTGACTGGATTTGAATCTATACCTCCCAGACACTAGCCCTGCATCCTTACTAACTGAGCTATCTAATGACTGACAACATCTATTCAATCACAAAATAATCAATCACCAAGACAAACCCACAAAGTTTGAGCGGATCCTCTGCAGTACTTCATGAATCGCTCCATTTCCTGTACACCCGAGGCTTCAAACGGCATTAGTGACGTCACTCACCTGAAATAAATCAGTCTTCGGCCCGCGCTCCGCTGAATACTTCCGGTATTTCTCGGCTCACGCCTCGAAGCGCCGACGCTGCAAGACCCATCACTACCTAGCTATCACACACAGACTTTATATAACAGTAGTATGTGTTCACGGAGGTGCGCAATACGTTTATTTCACTATTAAACGATACTTCTGCATTGGCGAACACACTCAAAGCAGTTGCATAAAGTCACGGGAGCATCAAAACTCACATGTTAACAAGCACTACTGTATGTCCCCCATTGTCAACCCTGGTTTAGTCCTGGTTTAGTCCTGGTTTAGTCCTGATGTAGCTCCTGTTTTGGCTGTTTGAGTATTTTCAGTCTGCTCGCTCGGTCCGCTAATGTCCACGTGACCTTTGCGGCTCTCTGATTTGTTGCTGCACGAACGTCCCCAGGAAAGGTTGAGCAAAATTCATCTCCGCCGTTCCTCCCCTTCGACTTCCCAGTGCGGTCCGTGCGTGCATTCCGAGACGTTAGTGCGTTTTGACGCTGGAACGCGCGTCATCATTGACTTTGCATTGAAAGCAGACGCAACTCATGATCCGGTCTGAACGTGGCTAAAGGCTGTGTGTGAGTCTGTATCAAAGAGTTGTTTTGCTATGGTTTGAGTTGAGTTTATTTTATATAAGTGTCTTTCATGACACTGAACAACATCAGATACATTTTTATTTTATTTTGTAAAACAAGCAACTACAACATCGTGCCCATAAACAAAGTGTATGTGTGTAGTCACCAGCGGGGGCAGGCTATGGCTATAAAAGGTTCATGAGAAAACCTGGTGGGGGTGGACCTGGAAAGAAAATTACCCAATGCTTTTGTATGCCGCCTTCTTTCCTTTTGAAAGCTGCTCTTCAGGATGGACGCTATGTTCCAGATGCCGTCAATGCTGAGGGGAGTATATATTTTTTGGACCAGTCTAGTTTAGCCGCTGTGGACTTCACTTGTTAATGAATGGGGTTCATGCCGGATAATGCATGTGAAAATGCTTTTTTTTCACATATAGATGGTTTTCCATCACATGCTTATTACCCATGATGCTTTGCGCGAACGCCATGATGTTTGTCTGGTTAATATTGCAAGGATCATTTGTCCCCTTGGCATCTAAAGCCACGAATTCGGCCGACGCTGAAGGCGTTAAGTATATTGATACACTGGAGTAATCTGTGAGGCAAGATCCTTGGAGAAATTGAGAGTGATCGGAGATTTGGATCCGTATGAAATGCGGCGAGACAAGTGGACTTTGCCAGAAAAGGCTTACTTTCACCTAACAGTTTTACAATTAAAAAAGGTCATGATGTATATGATGCGATATTTCTTTCAATCAATTATTTATTTTGAACGAAGCAGTTGATATCACAGGCCGGGTTACTTTTTAATCAAGCTCTTAGAATAATCAATCTTCTGGCCACCCTGGAAAAGCTACGTTCCAAGTTCTTCCCTTTGGCAGAAGATTGTTTGCTGAGATGTAGGACATGCTGGGGGCCAAAATAACTAATTCGTGGGCCTTGACTTTGACAGCCATGTGATAGATGGTCCCGAACTTTGAGAAATAGTTGACATATGTTTAAATCTTTGACATACACCATGGAAAGCCCTCTAGTGGCTGCATGAGCTGGAGGGCTGGACAGATACCCATTGGCATTGGCACAAAAACTTCTTCTGCCATACACTGCACTCCTGGGCCCCGGGCAGCACAGAGCGGGACAGGAGTAGACTGAACAAGCTGGTCAGGAGGGCCAGCTCCACTCTGGGCTGCTCCCTGGACTCTGTGGAGGAGGTGAGGGAAAGTAGTCTCCTCCATCTTGGATGACACCTCCCACTGCCCTGGACGGTAGAGGAGATGAGGAGCTCCTTCAGTGGAAGACTGTGGAAGTGCTACTACAGGGCCTTTATCCCCACCACTGCTATTTCCACTGTTGTGTCTAGTGTGTGTAATTGTATCCTGCACAGACTATTTATATTTTCAACCTTAACATGTTGCACACATCTGTCTTTTTGCACAATCTGAGTAATTCTATCCATGCCAAATGTGTGTAAATTTATCCATTGTGAGATCAATAAAGTTGATCTTATTTTATCCTCACACCAAATGTTTTACCGTAGCTGAGCTTTAAATTATTGCGTGTTCCTTTACCGTAAACAACTACTACTTCACAACAACAGCCGTAAAGATTGGCCGTGTGGATTAGGCAGTTTAGCCGATCTCAATCAGTCAAAAACCATGAAATATTGGCCTGATTCCAAGATTGGGACATCCTTAGTGGTTTGGGGTTGATGCAGATTCTTGGTCATACTGCTGATCCAGTCTGTGCTGCGTTCTACTGGAGAAATTATACCTTTTTTTGGTCATCATTGCTCCAGGCACAAACATCCTCAAACTCAGTCTTTATTTAGTCCATGTTTAGTTGTTCCCCATTGTTCTGATCATCTACTCTTCACATTCCTTAGTCACTCTGCTCTCTATTGCCAAGATGTTCTCATACTGCAAAGATGAAGGCAAATCAGGTTCATTGCCTCAGTAGCTCTCCTGCCCTAGTACGGGGATCCGGTCTGCCTGATCAGCCACTTAGAACTCCAGTCTGTACAATTTTTCATTTCTTGGATTTCACAGTTTGACCCTTAATGTTATAAGTGGTTTTAATCTGCTCTAGTTGCATGACAAGGACCGTCTTATCAAGTTGTGTGTCTGGATTCAACCTCTGTGATGGGATAATATTGCAAGAAGCACCACAGTCAGTCTGGAAGTGAACTAGCCTCTTGTCTAGTAACATTCCTGCACATAGCTGCTGGCTCTTATTGTGTTCCTCTTTCATTTTGTAGAGTATTGACATCGGTTGCTCTGACATCGTTCTATATGGTCTGAGTCTGTTATGTTGTCTGCCTACGTACCTTGACACTACAGGAAGTGAATGTAACGTTGTTGTTATGCAGTAAAGTCCAAGCCTACAACACGCTGGTATCCCGTGGTCATTTCAGTATCTAACAGTGGCGACGAGGTGGTTGTACAGTGGACCCATGTCTCGGCGATGAGCGATTCTACTGTCTCACAGGAGCAGCATATTGAAACAGACAGTAGTGACTCGGAAGAGAGTGTGCATACACAGCGTGACAAGATGGCGAGAGTTGGATCGATAGACCCGTTTGACAGCACAACGGATGACTGGGTCGAGTATACTGAACGCGTTTCCCAGTATTTTGTGGCAAATGACATAGCAGCGGAGAAACATGTTGCAGTGTTGCTGAGTGCAATGGGGGGAAGATCATACGGCCTGTTGCGGAGCTTGACTGCACCAGATAAGCCATCAGACAAGACTTTTGATGAATTGGTGAAAGTGATGAAAGAACATTTATCGCCAAAGCCGCTACTAATTGCTGAGCGTTTTAGATTCCACAAGCGAAATCAACATGAGGGAGAATCTATTGTTAGTTATGTGGCTGAGCTGAAGAGACTTACTGAGCACTGTGAATTTGCACAGGGACTGGATGATGCGCTGAGAGACCGCTTGGTATGCGGTATTCTGAACGAGGCCATACAGAAGAGACTGCTTACCGAGGATAAGCTCACTTACAAAAGGGCAGTTGAAATCGCAGTCTCAATGGAAACGGCAGCCAGAGATGCCGTTGAACTGCAAACAGGAGTAAAGGCAATAAATGTGAATAAAATGGCAACAGTCCCACAAGAAAGAGAGCATGAACCGTGTTACAGGTGTGGGAGGGGCTTCCATTCCCCTTCACAGTGTAGATTTAGGGATGAAATCTGCAGACTATGTAACAAGACAGGGCACATTCAGAGAGTTTGTCGCTCAGGAAAGTCAAGAGTGAATAAAAGTGAGAGGAAGACGCAGTGGAATGTACACAAGAACAAGAAAGTGTACAATATAGAGGAAACTGCAGGTGAGGAATCGGACGAAAGTGAACATACAAACTGCTTGGATGTGTACCATGCTAAAGGTGGTGGCCGGGAAGCGATCTGGCTCACACCCCAGGTGAATGGAAAACAAGTGAGGATGGAACTGGATACCGGCTCTGCAGTGTCAGTGATGGCGCACAGTGACTTTGTGCAGTACTTTGGAGACCAGAAGCTGAACTCGTCATCTGTCCTCCTAAAGACATATACTGGAGAGAAAATCAAGCCCCTCGGCGTATTGCCGGTGGAGGTACAACACAATGGCCAACAATGCACATTGGACTTGTACATTGTAAAAAGAGGAGGACCAGCACTGTGGGGCCGAGACTGGCTGAGGAAATTACAGCTGGATTGGAAGTCCATTAAAAGCCTGCAGGTGGCGCCAAACACCACCGACAAGTCCACAGAGGTCAAATTGGAGACAGTCTTGGTGGCTGCAACGCCTGTATTCCAAGATGGAATTGGGACATTAAAAAACATAAAGGGCAAAATTGTTCTTCAAGACGGGGCCATTCCACGTTTCCACAAAGCACGGCCAGTTCCGTACGCCATACGACAGAAGGTGGAAGCGGAGCTGGACCGCCTAGAGGCCGACGGAATCCTGTCTAAAGTTGACTGGAGCCCATGGGCCACACCCATTGTCCCAGTAGCAAAGAAGTCAGGGGCAGTGAGGGTGTGTGGGGACACCCTCACAATCAATCCTGTGCTACAAGCAGAACAATATCCACTTCCCAGGATCGAGGACATTTTTGCAAACCTGGCTGGTGGAAAGCGGTTCACCAAGGTGGACCTGGCGGAGGCCTATCTACAGATGGAGATAGAGGAAGACTCGAAGATGTTCCTGACCATCAATACTCTGAAGGGCTTGTACCGCTACAACAGGTTAGTGTTCGGAGTGGCCTCAGCCCCGGCTATCTGGCAGCGTGCTATGGATCAGGTGTTGCAGGGGATTCCAGGTACACAGTGTTACTTAGATGATATAATTGTGACTGGGGCCAACGATAACGAACACCTGGAGAACCTCCATAAGGTCTTACAGAGACTTCAAGATTACGGACTCCGGGCTAGACGTGACAAGTGTGAGTTTTTCAAACCATGTATCACATACTGCGGCCACACCATTGATGCACAGGGTTTGCATAAATGCAAAGAAAAGATCAATGCCGTCATGAAGGCTCCTCAGCCACAGGATGTACAGCAACTGAGATCGTTCCTTGGATTCATCAACTACTACCACCGGTTCATGCCTAACCTGTCTACAGTGCTCCATCCTCTGAACGAACTACTCCAGGCAGAACGGAAATGGAAATGGACCAAGGAATGCGAACAGGCCTTCCAGGAAGTGAAAAGGCTGGTGACATCAGAGACAGTGCTCACACACTACGACCCGTCCTTGCCTGTGAAGTTGGCATGCGACGCGTCACCGTATGGTATAGGGGCCGTTATGTCACATGTCATGCGGGACGGCACTGAGAGACCAATAGCGTTTGCCTCCCGCTCCCTGTCCTCGGCTGAGAAAAATTACTCCCAAATAGACAAGGAGGCACTGGGCCTGGTCTGGGGCGTAAAACGATTTAACCAGTACTTATACGGCAGGGAGTTCACCCTCGTGACCGATCATCAACCACTGGTCTCAATATTCAACCCCCATAAGGCTATCCCCATGACCGCAGCGGCACGCATGCAGCGTTGGGCCCTGTTCCTGGGAGGGCATCGGTACAAGATTGAATTCAAGAGCACACTAAATCACGCCAATGCAGACGGGTTGTCTCGGTTGCCACTCGACACCGCAACAGGCACAAAAGGAGACAAAGAATCAGTGGCGATGTTCACGCTCATGCAGATCGAAAGCCTCCCAGTGACAGCGGAGATGATTGAGAGAGAGACCCGGAAAGATGCGACTCTCTCACAAGTGTACAAAGCAACGCAGACAGGCTGGGCAGCTAGTGAAAGGTCTTTCCTCGCTCCATATTTCCAACGCCGGGATGAGCTTGCTATTGACTCTGGTGCCTTATGTGGGGAATGAGGATCATCATACCCACCAAGGTCAGGTCCAGGGTGCTGGAAGAGTTACACAGTGGTCATCTGGGAGTGGTGAAGATGAAGGCACTCGCCAGGAGCTATGTCTGGTGGCCAGGGATTGACCAACAGATAGAACAGCTCGCAGCACATTGTCCTGGGTGCCAGCGTGTACAGAACGAACCGACAGTGGCACCCCTCCATACATGGGAATGGCCCACATCGCCATGGCAACGGATACACATTGATTTCGCCGGGCCATTCATGAATAAAACATTCCTTGTAGTGGTCGATGCATGTTCAAAGTGGCCAGAAGTGTTCGCCATGAAATCCACGACAACAGCAAACACAATCGACGTGTTGAGAGGTCTCTTTGCTAGAACTGGTATCCCCGAACAGTTGGTGAGTGACAATGGTCCTCAATTCACAGCTAGTGAATTTCAGATGTTTATGAAGCTGAATGGAATCCGCCACATAACATCAGCTCCCTACCATCCGGCTACTAATGGGCTCGCCGAGAGGTTCGTACAAACTCTAAAACAAGGTCTGCGAGCCTTTGCGGATGCACCCATTTCTCTTCAGCAGAAGTTAGCCAACGTCCTGTTTGCCTACCGTAACGCCACTCATGCTACTACTAACCGAACCCCTGCCATACTGTTCCTGGGACGGGGGCTGCGCTCAAGACTGGACCTGCTAAAGCCGAACCTGCGACGGACGGTAATGGATCGTCAGATCAAGCAGGGTAAAGGGACTCACAATAGAGAAACGCGTCAACTGGAAATTGGACAGACTGTGCTTGCCAGGGATTACCGTGGAGAACACAAGTGGATTCCCGGTATAATCAGAGAGAGGCAAGGGCCCTTGTCCTACACCGTAGAAGTAGCTCCGGACACTATCTGGCGACGCCACCTTGATCAACTACGGGGGTCAGAGGTACGCACTGCAGCGGAGATGGTGGATCCTGCTGCTTCATTCATCGCTGCTCAGGGGGACCTGAGCCTGCCAACTGCCAGCGCTACTCCAGAGACCATGAGCCTGCCTAGCTCCACCGCAGGCCAAGACAGCCGGAACCTGCAAAGCTCCGACAGCGACATGGGGTGTCTGCCAAGCCCTGGTCCGCCCCTGACCCCACGCATTGGTCTCCCTAGAGCTGGGGCGAGCCCGGCGGTTACACCTGAGAGACGTTATCCAATGCGTACTCACAGACCTCCCAAGAGACTATCCCTTTAAGTAAACTGCTGTTGCATTAGTATCACTTTAGTTCTATTTTAAGTGGTAAAGGTTATACTGCTTACTGTACTTGTTATCTAGAAAAGGAGGAGTTGTAGAGTATTGACATCGGTTGCTCTGACATCGTTCTATATGGTCTGAGTCTGTTATGTTGTCTGCCTACGTACCTTGACACTACAGGAAGTGAATGTAACGTTGTTGTTATGCAGTAAAGTCCAAGACTACAACACGCTGGTATCCCGTGGTCATTTCAGTATCTAACACATTTGGTTTCTATTCTCTTGATTTTCTCTGAAACTGTGTTTACCTGTCTGCTTTTATCTTGATATAACTTTCATAGTGGTTCTTTCCACATTTCTTGCACCTCTTACCAAAGGCAGGACACTTCCATTTATTTTTCTCATGTTTGATTCCACAAAAGTTTCAGCAGATCTCCTACTTTTTGTCTTTTCTTTCATATTTCATTGCATGTATTTCTTCCAGTGTCTTGCCTTGTATGGATGTCTATCTGCATATAGTGTTGTTGAGTCTCCTTCCCTCAACATTCTTTCTCTAGTGTAATTTTATCCCATTTCAGAGCTGTTCGTACTCCGTTCCACAAACTATGCTGTCTCTTATTAGCGAGTCTTTAAAGGTCTTGTACTATCCTTTATGACTTTTCCCCCTCTAAAATCAGTACAGTGCTATTCGGCCTTCAGAGGCCAGAGGCTGAATAACCTGATTCACTTTGTTACGTAGCAAACTTTCACACTAGGTCGAGCTCCAGAAGCTCGCTTCCAGGAAGTGATTGACAGGATGGAGAAACCAAATCACCGAATCAGTGCGCACAGCCTTTGCCAGTGTATGGACCCACTACCACTGTGTTCAATTCAACACTGTTTTCCTGCTTCTGACAGTGACTAAAAGTGTTAGCATCATGTCAACTTGGAGAAATGTGTTTTTGGATGTAAACATGGGAATTTGACCTGAAGACGAAGAATGTGTGAGTGTACCTGGACATTCTACTTTCAGGAATTGGGTTGATTAAAGTTTATTCTCAGGTCTAAAATGATTATGTACCGTTGAAAGCAAAATGGTTCTGTGTTTACAAAGTCAGCGTAAGACTACGTCACCGTGTGGGTGGGCTCTCAGGGAAAGAGCACAGATCCAAGCGTTTGCTCTATATCGCAGATTGTAAATATATCATTCTATAGAGGTGACATCAGCTCTATGCAAGAAAGGGCTATTGACCAGATGCATCAACGTCATCCAGTCACGTGATTGTGAATGAGCTTACGGCGGAAGTATTGCAAACTAGCATTGGTGCGAGAGCAAAACGGACTACAACTCTTAAAAACGGAGCTTCCTCTCCTAAATCGAGAAGTGGCTGCTTCAAGCAATGTTCGATTACGTTATAGATGGAAGTAGGACATCAGGTCAGGGCTCACAAAGAGTGGTATTTGGAGAAGTTAAGGATTGCCTAACTGGATGTTGACCCGTACCTTCTCCCCCCAGTCAATTTTATCGATTAAATAAAATGTCTATTTTTGCCCAAATTCACCCTACATGATCTTTATCATTATCGTTAACAATGCATCCCCTCACACTGGAGCAGATTTATATGTACATTTTGCTGGTAGCATTAGCAATAGTCCACTTTTCTGTGGCTTTTCTGTCCACAGCCAAACATGATACGTACTGACGGAGAGGAAAATAGTGAAACACGCAATTGACTTAAAAGATAAAAATGTCAATGTTGCAGCGCACATACAGGACAGTAGTAAGAGACACGTTTGACGTGTGTCATTGTCCTCCAAATTAATGGAAATAAAATAAATACAAACTTGTGATTGCTTTATCTTGTAAAAAGTGTTCACTGCATATTAGGGAGTACTTGGATGGGTCCCAGTCCTTTTGGTTGATTGCCGCCATCGTCGTCTTCTGTCTTCATGACGAGCAGGTATCAGATAAAAAAGCTTATGTCCTTGCCTGTTAGTATAATCAACCGCACTGCAAAATGTCACAGTTTTGGCTGTAATGCGCTGAAACAGGTTTGTTTTGGTCAGGTGTCCGTAGGCTCCAGTTAGACTTCTGCCGTCTTCTGACGTCCCGGCCACGCCCCGGAGAGTGGGCGTGGCCGGGACGTCACATGCAAGGGGTCAATAGTTTCTACGTTTCGAGTGTTGTATGGGGCATCACCCACATTATTACAGTATCACACATAAGAAAAGGAAATTATAGGACCTTTAATATTGCCAAAGTTGCATGTGTTAAACTTGTTAATAATCTAATCTTGTTCTTGGTTCCTCACAAATAACTTGCATCTCCACTGTCTCATTCAGTTATGGATTTGACACAATCTTTACTTTCTGGGTAAGCAAAAGTAACAGCTATAACAACTTGTCCTTCCCGCATCTGTGCGAGCCCCATGCGCCCCTCGGTCACTGGTCTATTTTCTGTCGGTGTTTGCAGCTGTCGGTGTCGCTCACAGATCCATGGTGTCGCTCAGTTCCAACATGGAGATCCAGCGGACAGCGCGGCCCGTCCTGCTCCTGCTGGCTCTGCTGTCTCCTGGTGAGTGAGATCATGTCTTTTCAGGATCAGAAAACTACATGATGTGAGGTGAATACTTGTTGTACCAATTAGAGGATCTGGAAAATGCAGTTTGCTGTACGTAATCCGAATCATTCTTATATTCGAACTGCCAACGAGGATATGCAGCATGAGACAGGCTTTGGTTTGTCACTCGATCTCAAGCCAATTGATGAGGAGAGATTGCACTGATAACCTACTACTGTATATACAAATGTGGCGACCTCTAAAGACCCCCAAAATCTGTTGTTGTTAGAGGACTATTTAAAATGGTTTTGTTTATTGCACATTGTTTTTGTTGTTTTGTCATTACGTCTATACGATTCATGGTGTTCATTAGGTTGGCTAGAAGCTTCTCACAAAAGAACATCTACAAATTAAATCAGATAATAATGAGAAAGTAGCATCATGTTGTAGAAGTTGAAAGTGAAGGTCTCACATGTTAAAAGTTTGTGTAGACTTAGCCTCAAAAATGTGTGAGGCCAAAAAAAAACATGTTTGCGAATGCCAGTGATAGAACCAGTTTGTATTGAGAGCGAATAGCTTTGGGAATTAGGTAGCCCAGCTTTAAATATATGTCCCCTACATTGTGTAGTTTCTGGAACATAAGTGTTGATCATTTTATTCTTAACCATAACAAGGAAATGTTTACCAACCGACTTCACTCTTTAATGACATCTATGTTATACCTACAAAATGTGCAATACCGATACATTGCTACATAGTATACATTGTATTGAAACTGGTTCATTCAGTCAGACAGGCTGCACTATATGTGTAAACTGAAAACATGGGAACAGCTGATGCAGAGCAGCTGAACGAAACCAGATCCTCTCCAAGAATCCACCAGTCACCTCTGCACCAACTCACACTCTGAGTAAGAAGTGAATCCTGAATATTTATGGGACAAGTGAAGTGTTAAGGGGAAGTACATGTTGTAGTGTAAGTGTAGTAAAGGGAATTGTTTCAAAATCTAATGTTAAAAGCACTTTAATGGGATCTAATGTATTTATTGTCAATCGATAGTGCTTTGTTTTAAAGTTATAAGCAGTCATATTATTGATGACGTCATTGAACAGTCTGGGAGGCTTTGTTTTGCTAAACGGCCAAAACACACAAATATATTTATGATTTCTTTATCAATAAATGTGTGTAAATATCAGTATTAATATTTACAGTGTATGGTGTATATATATATATATTTATGCATTTCATTGAAGTATTAAGGATTTGTGCTTGCTTATTAATAATAAAATAAATAAAATACATAGGAGGTAATCAATGTATGCAAATATGTTTGTGTCTGCCTACTTTATGTAATACACTTATTTATACGTTTTATTTAAGTGTTTTATTTTTATTATTTTTATTATAAACGAGTACAAATGAAGGCAGGAGATTAAATTAGTACTTCATATAAATATATATTTACACTATTAAAACCAAAACATAACCTGCTTATAACTTTAAAATATAAGCAGAACAAATTAAACTTTTACTGTAACAGAACAAACCAACAAACATGAAGAATCATAAAAATAAACATAATTGATGAAGGAAATATATTATTTTGGCTGTTAAATGCAAAACGTAGCCTCCCAGACTACTCGATGACGTCATAGAAAAATCAACTGCTTATAATATTTATGCTTATGACTTTTGGTAGCAGCACGAACAAAACTTTTTGCAGCAAAAACCAGCACTATCGATTGACACCAGTTTGGATAATTTTGAAGCTCAATTTGTGTTTGCGTGACCCCAATTTGGCGTAAAAATTAATCATTAATATCTCAAAAACAAAAGCAGCACAAAAAAACCTTTTTTCTGCACAAACGATTGGAATAGTTTTTGAGCGCGATCAATGATGGGGTCAACTTCAGGGGCGATTATAAAGTATTTTATAGAGAGAATCAAGATTACACATATACATTTGTTGACAGTTTGCTGGTGCCGGAATGAAGAGGAGCGTCTCATTAACTTCCTGTTTAAAGAAAAAGGCTACAACAAAGAGCTGCGTCCAGTGGAGAGACAGCAGGACACGGTGGATGTCTTTCTTGCTCTCACGCTCTCCAACCTCATCTCACTGGTACAACTTTGTATTGGAGCAATGGGCTGCATCATTTTGCCAAATTATAGTCAAGATTTTTAAACAAACGTATGATTTAAATAAAAATGTATAGGTAATCACTGTTTCACTTTATTGGACACATTTTCAGTTCTCAGCATGATTTCTTCATCTTGATAGAAAACATGTTATCTTTGACATACCTGTAAGGAAGAGCCCCGTTAGCCTCCTTGGGCCAGGGGAGTCTGCCCACTGTCACATTTCTGTGTAAAAAATCTAATTAATGTGACAGAGCCCAAAATTACATGCCTAATAATATCTAACTTAAACGACAAACTCAATAAACACAATTTTTCCCTTAATTCATTCAATTCTACTGCTAAAACAAGTTGTAGTCCCATCCCCCCGAGAAATACAAAAAAATACAAATTATTTTCCCTTTAAAGGAGCAAAAATCTTAACCTGGCAAGAGCCAGATTGATGATTGTGTAGAACTCTAATGCGTTCTCCACAATATCAATCTGGGACTTCTGCAGGAGAATCCTTTCGGGGAAAGGAGGGCTAAGCAGCAGAATACTTCAAGCTGATTGGGCGAAGTGACGCTGTGTGCCCGCCTACCAAGGTTTGACTTAAACCAATCCCGGTAACATCTTTGCCGTCCAGAAATGCACAAAGCGCCTCTCGCTGTTCATCTTTCAAAAAAGAAATTGGAGATTCTGCTAAAACTGACTTGATAGCCTCAGCTACGCGTCCGTCCTCCTGCGTAGCCATGTTTGTTTTGCTTCGGCCCGGCACTTCTTGCTTTCGTCAAACCCTGATATCCCGCCCTAAACCCCCAGACTGGCGCGTGATTGGCTTGAACACCTAGATGTTCTACTCGAAAAGGGTTTGCGGGAGCGGGGCAAGATGTATTCTCGAGTGTTTGTGAACTCACAAATACCGCGAAAATTCAGCTTGCAGGCAAGGTTACAAAAATCTGGCCAAACCTGGTACTGCACTCTCCCACTCTCCCTGACTCAGGTTGCCAGATATGCAGACAAATCCAGCTGGGACCATAATATTTGAATAGACAAGACCTTTGTCAACAACAAATCTATAACCAACACCTTTTTCACAAAGACATCTCTGATAGACATCCTTGTTTTTATTTCTTTGTTTTGTTAATAATAATTTGAGAATCATATCGAGAACTTTTTTAGTTCTGCGGCCACATGGTACTTCACCAGTGAGATTACCTCGACATGGTGAGTTCTGGCAACCTGGATCACTAACTTTCTGATTGGTAAAACGGTGGAGGGCGGTACTTCGAAATGAAAACAATAACAAGATATAGGGGCTGTAAAACTAATTTTGAAATCCAAATGGCTCTTGGCTGAACTTCTGTAATCAGTTAAAGAAGTATTGGAAAAGTGCATGGTTTATTAATGCCTTTTGACAGATTAGGGCCATTTAATTGTGACTTGACATAACAATCTTACATGTTGCTACTTTAATACTATAAGTGTCTCTAATATAAAAGCATTATTTCAGAAGCCTTGAAGGACAGATGTGGAATGACTAAAAGTGAGGACAATGGCGAATTGGACAATAGTTGTCATCAATATACAGTATCAATCAATCAATCAATCAAATTTTATTTATAAAGCGCTTTTCATACAAAAGATGCAACAAAAAGTGCTTTACAGTTTGGTTAAAAACAATCCCGCCGGCCCAAGACCCCTCCCCCAGACCACCCAACAGACCCACCCCAAACCACAGACAAACACACACACGCTCTCATGAACACTCATACACACACACACACACACACACACACACACACACGCACACACACACACACACACACACACACACACACACACCAGTAAAACAATAAAACCATGATGAGAGACTTGGCAGGGTTCAGATGCAACCAGCTGAAAAAGCGTCATCCAAGGAGCCGTCTGCACCAGGAGCAGAGAGCCGCCCGTAGCCACAGGGGACGACACAGGACCCAGAGGAGACACGAAACCGAGGCCCCAGGCCCCCACCAGGCCCAAGAGTCCGACCCCCCGCAGCCACACCAACCATATGCTGCATGCAGCTAAAACAAAGAGAACGTTTTGTTGCATACTTCAAATTTGACCAGGAAGGAAGACCAAAAAAAATCTGAAAGTTCCATTCAAATTATTTAATATTTTATTATTATATTATCATTTATTTTCTTGTTACAATAAATGTGCATCAGATCTCTCTGCTGTCCCTGTGTCCTAAAACCCCAGCGAGCTCCGAGGGCGCTCCTCTTAGTGCTCTGTATATATTTCCCTCCCCCACAAATATGCTGATTTATTGTCTTAAACAGAATGTCCAGACTCCCTTATTCGGGGGCCCACTCTGTAGTATTCTGTCTCTTACCACAGGTTTTAGTTTCATTGAAAACACAGTTAACATTTAATAATGATCTGATGAACAACAAAAAATGTAATTAATGAATGAACATAAGTTTGAAGAATATATTGTATCCTTTTTATCCAGAAAGAAGTGGATGAGACATTACTGACCAACGTATGGATTGATCATGTGAGTAAAAACTAATTCACTTTTTTTGTATTAACCAGTGACATTTTCAGAATCAAATGTCACTGGTTTGTTCAAAGTTTGCAATCAGTGACTTCAAAAATGTTCTATACCAAGACAAATATTGAATCTAGACACTCGTTTGAGCAAAAATCAATGAAAAATGAAAATAATGTACATAAACAGGACACAATTAAGAAATCGGATGTTTAAAAGTGAGAGAAATTGCTTTTGTTGTGTCTCAGTTCTGTTGATGGAGGGATTCATTTTAGAACTCAGCATTATTTCTTGTACATTGTTCAACCCTTTTGTCCACTTTCCCGAAATACTATATTTCAAATACTGTTAAGCCTAGCGTACATCGACAGAGAAACTGGAGACAACTAGTTGCAAGGCGGCTTTTGGCAACTGAGAGGAGATGATGGAGATGATCAGTTGCCGAAATCGGTCTATGTGCGCGCTCTTACAACTGGAGATGATCAGTCGATCTCCAGTTTCAGTCAGTTGCCCGTGTTCTACTTTTCGGCAACTAGTTGTCCTCAGTTTCGGAGATATGACCCGATGTGCGCGCTCCATGCGCCGCTCCGACAACGTGTGTGTATTGCGAGCCCGCAACAGTTTATGTCAGAAAACACACTGTAGTTGAGGCCAGTTGCTGTCGATGTGCGCGCTGTTATTCCCGAGACTGGTCTGCTGCAGGGAGTTGCCCGTTTTCGTCAGATTGTCGATGTGTGCGGGGCAGCAACTCATATGCGACGGATATAATCAGTTGCCAGTCCGATGTACGCTAGGCTTTAAGTGTCAGTGTTTGTTTCCAGTCGTGGACGGACAGCAGGCTGTCCTGGAACGTGACAGAGTTTGATGGGATCGACATGCTGCGTCTGCCCTCCAACATGCTGTGGCTGCCAGAGATCGTCCTGGAGAACAAGTGAGAGTCCAGCTATGAACACACTGCACAGGGCTCATACATCAAACTAATAGGATACAGTCTTCTACTCTTTTAATTCATGTACTTTTTAAAGCTGAAGAACCTAACTTTAAAACCAGAAAACAATTGATGTAACAAACTCAAAATAGTTTGGTTCTATGACTCATGAATTCTTCATGCTGTGCTCTGATTTGTTCATACTTTGTTTTTACAATCCTCTGTTCTACTTCTGTTGGCACACGCTACATGTGTTTATCATGTATTTATGAATGAACCAAAACAAATTAGGTACCCTAGCTTTAAATTGTAATATGTTTTAATGAGTTTAGCTTCTGCTCCTAGTTAGTCTCTGGCTCCGAGTTATTGATCATTTTGAAACCTGTGGATGAATAAGAACATGTGATCTGAAAGCAGAAAAATGTACTATGTACTATGACGCTATATTTTACAAAGAATTTTCCATTGAGGAAGCACTGAAGATTGAGGCTATGAATGATTACAGCATATATTTCATTGTGTGTGTTTTTGTAGTAATGACGCCCAGTTCCAGGTGGCCTATTACTCCAATGTGTTGGTCGATCCTACTGGCTTTTGCTACTGGTTGCCTCCTGCCATCTTTCGCTCTTCGTGCTCCATCAACGTCAATTTTTTCCCCTTTGATTGGCAAAACTGCTCCCTCAAATTCACGTATGAAGAGAAAATGAGTTCTTGTACATTTGTTTTAAGTTCCTGAGCAGTTTTAATTGTATTTTTTAAAATTTCTTTGCAGTTCTTTGACGTACAATGCCAAAGAGATCAGGATGTTGTTGAAAGAAGATGCGGTCGAGGACAATAAGTTCACACTAGAGTGGATTGTCATTGATCCCGCCGGATGGACAGGTTCGTCAAGTCTCGCTCTGCATCTATATGATCTAACAGATGGAAAGGTTAACATTTACCTTGCCTGCAAGCTGAATTCTCGCGGTATTTGTGAGTTCACAAACACTCGAGAATACATCTTGTACCGCTCCCGCTTACACTTTTCGAGGTGAACCACTGGGTGTGCGAGCCAATCACGCGCCAGTCTGGGGGTTTAGGGCGGGATATCCGGGTTTGACGAAAGCAAGAAGTGCCGGGCCGAAGCAAAACAAACATGGCTACGCAGGAGGACGGACGCGTAGCTGAGGCTATCAAGTCAGTTTTAGCAGAATCTCCAATTTCTTTTTTGAAAGATGAACAGCGAGAGGCGCTTTGTGCATTTCTGGACGGCAAAGATGTTTGTGCATTTTTACCTACGTAAGTCAAACCTTGGTAGGCGGGCACACAGCGTCACTTCGCCCAATCAGCTTCAAGTATTCTGCTGCTTATCCCTCCTTTCCCCGAAAGGATTCTCCGTGAGAAATCCCAGATTGATATCGCGGAGAACGCGTTAGAGTTCTACACAATCATCAATCTGGCTCTTGCCAGGTTAGGTTAACATATTAGTATTACGTAAATCTTTTGACTTTGCTACAGTTTCCAAACTGTGGAGTTTGCATATTTTCCCCATGTCTGAGTATGTTTTCTCCAACATGTGCAATTGATGAGGGTTGAGTGTGACTGTGGGACTACAAAAGGAAACTACTTACATACAATTAGGTGTATTTACAGCTCTTGCTGTTTATCAATATGTACTTTCCCATCGACATAAAACAAATGAAATAGAATAGATAAGGGTGCTGCAAGATTATTGGAATCCCGCCCTGAGGGAGGTGTGATTAGGTCACCTTGTGAACCCTGAAACACAACTTGAAGGACAGATCCTCTCCTTTGCATGTGTAGCGTACCAAACGGGAGAGGGATGACAGGGACAGAAAGAGGCAATTTGTAGTTGGAGATTCTCTCGAATAGTGAGGTCCCTGTTTATGTATAGAGAACAAAAATCACACACATGCGCACACTAGTGTAATACTAAAAAGTCGCTTACACATGCAACTTTATATACTGTGCTTGTATTGCGTTACAGCTGGAGTACTTTAAAATCACCAAAAATGTATTAGGTAATAAAATCTATGCAAATAGTTCTCAAAACAGTTTTTTCGACATTTTTTGGATCAGCTTTTTCAATGAAAAAGGGAGCACCATACAACATGCTGTCGTTCATTTATAAAGACTGTATGTTCTGTCTGGTTGTTGACAACATCCTCCTTAAACAAGTCTCTTTCTGTGCTGCTGCTGACAGCTATGGCGATTAACTCCTCTCTCATCAAAGACTCTGCATACATGTGTCTTTAAGCAGGTTTAATGATGCTCGAAAAGGTGAAACTAAAAGGATAGACAATATACAATTACTATATGCCTATGATAATACAAATAATTCACATCACAGTAAATAAAAGACATGTACAAGTCCACTCAAGTTTGTAAAAAGATACGAACGGGACGCCATTTTGAAAGCTACGTTGTACAAATAAAGTGAGCAAAACAATGATATACACGGTTTTAACTAATCTCTAGAAGTACAACAAACATATACTTGTCTTAAACATGTGAAAAAATACATACCAGCGATGCAACCTCAAAATATTTGCGATCTCAAAACGACAGCTGGAACTACGTGTCGCCATCTTTCTTTCTGGTTTTGTTGTACACAGTTCAATAAAGTTTCATTCAAATGTAACAAGTGCACTAGAATTCTTTGTCCACCAGATGGCACTATAAACTAGTGAAATTAAGGCAGGAGCAAATACACATTTTAAACTAATAAACAATACTAATTATGCATAACAGAACACTCCCCGTCTGGCGTGAATAAACGCCACATATTAAAACATAGGGACTAAAACAACAACTTCTGAAATGGGCCTAGTATAAACCTTAGTGCCCTCTGATTTAGCAACCTTAACCTCAACTGTACGGACTTTACCATCTTTAGAAGGAAACACTTGAGTTATGAGTCCAAGAGGCCATTGGTTTCTGGGTATCTGAGTGTCCTTGAGCACAACGGTACTCCCAAGGGTGACATTTGGTTGGTCAGATTGCCACTTGCGACGTGGCTGCAGTGTAGGAAGGTATTCTTTCTTCCACTTGTCCCAGAATGTGTTCGATAAGTGCTGGACCTGACGCCACTGATGCTTGTAGAGATCCAACACAGAAAAGTCTCCTGCTGGTGCTTGAAGTGAAGTTCCTTTCTGAGTGAGCAGAGTAGCCGGAGTCAGTATGAATGGATCGCTGGGGTCCACTGAAACCGGAACGAGGGGCCTAGCATTTATGATGGCCGATACCTCTGACATGAAGGTGACAAGAACTTCATGTGTGAGCTTAGTGTTTTTGTGTCGAGTATTTTCCGTGCAAGACCAATCATCCTTTCCCACGATCCACCAAAGTGAGAAGCGTGGGGTGGATTGAATGTCCATGTACATTCCTGTCTTTTTAAGTAGGTTTGTACGACTGTATTGTCCAAGTTTGAGGGGATTTTAAGTTCTTTACATGCACTGACAAAGTTTGTGCCTCTGTCGGACCGAATGGTTTTAACAGGTCCTCTGATGGCCAGAAAGCGTCTGAGTCCATTAATGAAACTAGATGTGTCGAGGGACTCAATCACTTCGATGTGAACTGCTCTTATACTTAAACATGTAAATATAACAGCCCATCTTTTGTTTTGGATAACATGTCCTCTGGTTCGTTTTGTGGATACAAACCATGGGCCAAACACATCTACGCCTACGTTTGTGAATGGAGGGTCTGTGGAAAGACGATCTGGTGGAAGGTTGGACATTTTCTGTGTGCTTAGAGGAGCACGGAGTCTTCTGTAAGTTGTGCAATTGAAAATGACTTTGCTGACCTTTCTTTTGCCTCCTACAATCCACCAACCTGCCGCGCGCACAGCACCTTCTGTGAACAGACGACCTTGGTGTTGAGTTTCTGCGTGATAGTGTCTCACAAGAAGTGTTGCTACGTGATGGCCTGCAGGGACAAGAAGAGGATTCTTTTCGTTTTGGTTCAGATTGGAGTTGGCAAAGCGACCTCCTACTCGTAAAAGTCCATTCTCATCTAAGAAGGGGTCCAAGTTTCTCAAAGTGCTGGTTTTAGGAAGTTTTTCTTTTCTTTGAACACACTTGATCTCATCTGCGTACACATCCTGTTGCACTGCATAGATTATAGCTTCTTGTGCTTTTTTAAGCTCAGCTACAGTGAGTCCTGTTTCACAGTAGTGCCAACCTTTACATTGTTTGGGTTTGCGTGAACTGAAGTTGTGCACAATATGCAATAAGCGGGCAAGTGCGCGAGTGAGTGATTTCCAAGTTGAAAACTTTGTAAATCTCTGAGAGCCAAGTTGTTTGGAGCAGGTAGTGGTTTTGAGTGCAGATACCTGTGGTCTGACTTCTGCGTCAGTGCTGGGCTCAACAAGACTGTGTGTGTCGATGAGAAGGCTTTGATTTTCAAACAGAATGTCTGGGCCAGTGAACCAGTTGGTTAGGGGCAGTTGATAAGCAGGTACAGAACGTGTAGCGTGATCTGCGGGGTTCTGACTGCTTGCTATGTATTGCCACTGACTGGGCTGAGAGGACCTACGGATTCTGTTAACACGATTGCTAACATAGACATAGAATCTACTTGTCTCGTTATAGATATAACCTAGAACAACTTTACTGTCCGTATAGAATGCAGTGTTGTCTAGTTCAATGTCTAGTTCATCTGAGATTAGATCTGCCAGCTCTACTGCTAACACAGCTGCGCTAAGTTCTAATCTTGGTATGGTCTGATCAGGGCGTGGAGCTAACTTTGCCTTACCCATCACAAAACCAACTTGACAGTTTCCTACCGTGTCTGTAACTTTAAGATAGGCTACTGCTGCTATGGCTTTAGTGGACGCGTCAGAGAAAACACACAGTTCTTTCTTGGTCGCAGCAGAAGGTGAGATGTCTGTGTACACTCGGGGAATTGACAGCTTTGACAGTTATTTGAGTGAGTCTTTCCAGAGTGTCCAGGTTTCTTCTCTTTCTGGGGGCAATGGAGCATCCCAGTCCCCGTTCTCAACTGTCAGTTCGCGCAGAATAGACTTCCCCTGTACAGTAACTGGCGCCACAAGGCCTAGTGGATCATAGAGGCTGTTTATTGTTGACAGAATGCCTCGCCTTGTGAAAGGTTTAGTTTCGTCTGACGTCTTAAAGGTGAAGCAGTCCTTTTTTATGTCCCAAAGAAGGCCGAGGCTGCGTTGCATGGGAACAGAATCCTTTTCAAAGTCAAGATCTTTTAAGTCTTTTGCATGGTCTTGGGAAGGGAAAGCTTCCAACACTTCCTTTTTGTTGGTTGCGATTTTGTGTAGTCGCAGGTTTGATTTTGAAAGTGTGTCTCGGGTTCTTTGTAAGAGAGACACCGCTTGGCCAACAGAGGGCAGTGATTTCAGTCCGTCATCCACATAAAAATCGCGTGTGACAAACTGTTCAACGTCTGGATCACACTCGCAGCGCAGCACGGACTGATGCAAGCCGTATATAGCGACTGCCGGAGAAGGGCTGTTCCCAAAAACATGAACAGTCATTCTGTATTCGATGATGTCTTTGGAAAGATCATTGTCACGAAACCACAAGAAGCGCAAATAGTTCCGGTCTTTGGCTCTGACTTTAAAACAGTAAAACATTTGTTCAATGTCTGCAGTGAATGCAACTGCTTCTTTCCTGAAGCGCATTAGAACTCCAAGGAGTGAGTTGTTAAGGTCTGGTCCAGTTAACAACACATCGTTTAGTGACACACCTTCATGCTTGGCACTGCTGTCAAAGACTACTCTTATCTGCTGAGGCTTTCGCGGGTGGTATACGCCAAACAGTGGCAAATACCAACATTCTTCTCCATCTTCCACAAGAGGAGCTATTTCTGCATGTCCATTTTTGAAAATTCTGTCCATGAAGCTTATGAAATGCTCTTTCATTTCTTCTTTCTTTTGAAAGCTGCGGACAAGTGACATGAGACGATTCAGTGCTTGTGGCCTGTTATTTGGCAGTTTTTGACGTTGTGTTTTGAATGGTAAAAGAGCTGTCCAATCACCATTTTTGTCCTTTGTTAGCTCTTCCTCCATTATTTTCAAAAATGTTTGATCTTGAATGGAGGGTGAGATGTAATTGTCAAGTCGGGTTTGTTTGAACACATTACATCCTAAGTGGTCTGGCTCGCATGTGCCGCTGTCACAGAGCTGCGTGTTGGAGTTGTAAGTGATTTGAATGTCACAATGTTTTTCTTTCACATTGAATACATTTGGGCACGGCTCAAACAATGTGGGGCGGCCTTTCTCTGTTGCGTTAGTGAAGAGAGTTTTGATTGCTAATGTTTTGTGAACGTCTCCCAGGCAAACGTTTCCAACTATGACCCATCCCAAGTCTAACTTTTGTGCGTAAGGTGCGTTGTGAGGGCCACTTATCTGCTTGCGGACTTTGTGCACTCTTACAATGTCCCGTCCAAAGAGCATAAGTATTTGTGCGTTAGAGTCCAGGTCAGGGATAAGATGAGCAACTGACTTTAGGTGGCTGTGATGTAGAGCTGCACTTGGAGTTGGAATCTCATCTCTATCATTCGGAATGTTTTTGTATTCAATAAGGCTTGGCAGAGGAATTTGGACTGTTCCATCTAATGCTTCTACAACGTAACCGGCAGCTCTCCTACCCATAGTCTCTTAAACACCTGCACATGTTCTGAGCGAATATGGTGAACTAGGGCCACAGTCATTAAATATCTCAAAAAACTCTGGGCGGACCAATGATCTGTTGCTCTGCTCGTCATGAATAGCATAGAGATGCACTGCTTTGTTTGGTGAGCCTGCAGGGTAAACTTTCACAAGACAAATTTTAGAGCATGATCTACCTGTCTCGCAGGCCCGTCCTAAGGGCTGTGCGACCTGTGCCGTCGCACAGGGCCTCGCACCACACAGGGGCCTCGCAATCTTCCTTCCTTTTATTTTATTTTATAAATACACTAGTTCAAGGGTCCCCAAAGGGCAGACTGCACTCCAAATTTGGAACCCTAAACCCCTTTCTCTGGACCTCTTTGATTTCGTTTGATCAAAAGAACATTTTTACAAGTAAAGTCAAATTTTCACCAAAAGCGATTTGTAAACAGGCAGGCGCGCGGGCAGCTATGTATGCAACGGGTCCTCCGAAAAAACTGTCAGATAACTTTAGCAGTGTCTGAGTGAGATACAAAGAAAGTAACGGGAATGATCGCAGTGTAGGAGAGATGGATACTCGCGGAGGAGGAGCAGTGAGACAAGTGTGAGCAGAGGAGCAGACCCCTTTGTGTGAGCAGAGGAGGAGGAGGAGGAGGAGGAGGAGGAGGAGGAGGAGCAGTGATACAGGTGTGAGCAGAGGAGCAGACCCCTTTGTGTGAGCAGAGGAGGAGGAGGAGGATCAGCGGTGTGACAGGTGTGTGAGCGCTGCTATTGCCAATGTTTAGTCCGAATATCCACATCAAAAACATATTTTTAAAAGCATTAGCAAACACACTGTATGTCTAGCTTTAGCTAGCTGGAGTGTTTTTGTTGTGGTCAGAGTGTGTGGAGGAGGAGGTGAAGAGTATTTTGTTGTTGTCAGTGTGGAGGAGGAGGAGTGTATGTTGTCAGAGTGTGTGGAGGCATGGCAAAAACGTTATTTGATGAGAAAATAATAATATTGACTCCGCCTCATAGCCATTTTGGCGCATTTTGCCCAAATCTAACTATTAGAAGAAAAAGACTCCTTTTGGTTCAATCTTTTGAGTTGCTCTGCCATTTTGCCACAGGACGAAAGAGACATGTCAGCTAAAAAGACCGCGACCAATATTGCACGTAGAGTGTGTGTGCGTGTGTACGTGCGCGCGCCAAACGCTGCATAGGAGCGAAGACACTCGGTTACACGCGTGCTGATCTCGTCAAGCACCGCGCGAGGTGGTGCTGAATTCATGTCAAAGATTATAACAGGAAAAACTTTCCTCAGATCTGGGAAAAAAGTGTCAGGGCAGGGCCTCGCGTTTCGAGTTCGCACAGGGCCTCGCACCCCCCTTGGGACGGGCCTGCTGTCTCGTGTTCTCCACAAACCTGGGTGCACTTGGAAGTGATGTCATCCGGCTGTGTGTTGTCTGGCTCCCCGCCGTGCTCTGTCGCTGGTCCAATTTTTGGCTCTGGTTCTGTCTGCCACGGGGCTGGGCCAGGATGAAGTGCAGTGCAATGTTTCTCATTGCCACATTCTGAACACTGCAGTTTGACTTTGCAGTCCTTTGCAATGTGTTTGGATGAGCCACAGCATTTGAAGCAAATATTGTTTTCTTTTAGAAACACTTTTCTTTCTTCCAGCGGTTTCATGCGAAACGTTCTGCACTTAGTTAAAGGATGAGGTTTTTTGTGAAGCGAGCAGAGTTTCTCACTATCTATCCCTTTTGTTTGCATAAGCTTGTTCGTAGGAGCCTGAATCAATGTCTGTTTTGTGCACTGATATTTCTTTTTGTCTGTCGTTCTCCACAGAGGTTTGTCTGGCTTGGAGATTGTATCAGGATGTGAGTTGAACTGAAAGCTAGGATCATTCCTTGCGCTAGCTTCCTGTGCGACAAAGTTCACAAAAATGTTAAATGGTGGATATGTGACACCATGACGACATTTGTAATTTGTCCCAACTGTTATCCATTTTTCCTGTAGATTATACGGGAGCTTTTGGATGACAGGATTTACACCTCTTGCTGTGTCTAGAAATGCGAGGCCCGGAAGGTCTCCATCGGCTTTAGCGCACTGCATTTCCATCAGTAAGTCACTGAACTTTCTTAATTTTGTATAGTCTTTAGAAGTGATTTTTGGAAATGAGTCCACTCGTTTAAAGAGAGCGTCCTCAATAACCTCAGCTGAGCCGTAACATTGGTCAAGTCTATTCCATATCATTTCTAGACCTGCTGCAGGTTTATTTATGTGTATGGCTCTGATTTGCTCAGCATGTTCAACAGACTCTTTGCCGAGCCATTTTAACATCAAGTCCATTTCTTCACTAGCTGTCAAGTCTAGCCCTTTAATTGCATTGTAAAAGAAGCGTTTCCATGCTCTGTAATTTTGTGGTTTATCATTAAACTGAAGAAGTCCAGTCGCCACTATTTCCCTGCGAGCAAAGTATCTGATAAAGTCACTTACATTGTTCTCATTGCGCCCTTGATGAGGAATGTAGTGAGCTGACAGTGACACCTTGTGGGAAAAACTGGTAGTGTCCGGTTTGTAAGGACGAGAGTTGTCACTTGTTTGGACCTGCTGGGAAAAATTTGCATTTTCATGAAAAACATTGTGGGAAATATTTAGTATTTACTTCCTTTGGGTGTAAAGCCTCATCTCTTGTGTGTTCCTGTTTAAGCTGTACGTTGTGGTCGTTGCTGAAGTTTTGTTTTTATGGATAACTTTCAACAAATTCTGCTTGGTCAATGACAAATTGTTTTGTACGTTTAGCTGCTTCGGAAAGAGTAAGATCACTTTGGGCATCGGACTGTGAGCCGGCTGCTGCTTCTAATGCCTCTGCTTCTGCTATGGTTGAAGCTACTTCTTTTTCTTGCTGTAATAGCTCAATAGATGCTTCAAGCTTAGCCTTTTCTATTTTCAGACGCATTTCTTTCTCTGCAAAGTTGAGACGAGCCTTTGCTGCCTCAGCTTTTGCCCTAGCATTTGCTGCTGCAGAACCTGTGGACCCAGCTTCAGATCGGGTCTTGTAGGTTGAAGACTTGCTGTTTTTAGCTTTTGTGGATGTAGCTTTGTTGGAGGGAGCCTTGACCGATGGCACGTTGGTTGATGTGTGGTCCGTTGACGACAACTTTTCCGGTTCTGCTGTGTCGGCCATAGCTGCGTTGACTAGGTGACGACTGCTAGATCGCTACTGTATGCCGTGCTGTATGAGGCGTAGTAGTGGTCAGCGTCGATTCACTCTAATCGCAGGAGGATGACCGCAGAATCTCCACGTGGATGCCGCTGTTTCACTGTGCTGCTGCTGACAGCTATGGCGATTAACTCCTCTCTCACATCAAAGACTCTGCATACATGTGTCTTTAAGCAGGTTTAATGATGCTCGAAAAGGTGAAACTAAAAGGATAGACAATATACAATTACTATATGCCCATGATAATACAAATAATTCACATCACAGTAAATAAAAGACATGTACAAGTCCACTCAAGTTTGTAAAAAGATACGAACGGGACGCCATTTTGAAAGCTACGTTGTACAAATAAAGTGAGCAAAACAATGATATACACGGTTTTAACTAATCTCTAGAAGTACAACAAACATATACTTGTCTTAAACATGTGAAAAAATACATACCAGCGATGCAACCTCAAAATATTTGCGATCTCAAAACGACAGCTGGAACTACGTGTCGCCATCTTTCTTTCTGGTTTTGTTGTACACAGTTCAATAAAGTTTCATTCAAATGTAACAAGTGCACTAGAATTCTTTGTCCACCAGATGGCACTATAAACTAGCGAAATTAAGGCAGGAGCAAATACACATTTTAAACTAATAAACAATACTAATTATGCATAACGGAACACTTTCTGTTGGGACAAACACAATGTATTTATGAATCAAAGACGTTGGGTCCTCCAGCTTTTCATATGGATTCTTTCCAATGAAAGCATTTCAAAAATCTGTAAATTAGGATGTCCAAGCATCCTAAGGTTTTAAATGAGCAGTTTGTGTGCAGAAAACGGAGAGTGGGAGGTGATCCATCGTCCTGCGAAGAGAAACACGTACAAACACATCCCCATGGAGAGCAACAAGCACCAGGACATCACCTTCTACCTGATCATTAAACGCAAACCTCTGTTCTACATCGTCAACATCATCATCCCCTGTGTCCTCATCTCCTTCCTGGCTGCACTCGTCTACTACCTGCCTGCAGACAGTCAGTACAAGCCTCTCTCAGCTTTAGAAGAGACAAACCAGTCTCAGAATGCTAGTCTGAATATGACATTTAGTTCAAAGACTTACGGGTGATTGTCTCATTAGGGACACATAATTAGATTTCTGACGTCCATGGCCACAAGCTACAGTTTACTGCACTAGCAGCAAACTATTGAGCAGTTTTCAAACTGGGGAAAAAGGTCATGGCCGAAGTAATGTTGTTTGACCGTGTTGACAATTGTAACATCCGTGAATGACATGAGCATGCTGCCTCCAAAATATTGATAAAAAAGAAAGAACTCTGAGGCAAGTTTTCAAATTCCACTCCGTTAACATCTATAACCTCTTCAGATGATGTAGAACAACAACATTCAAACTTGCATAGTTAATGTAATTTAGGGCCTTCTTCTAAATGATACGTTTGGCCCAGTTCAAATCTACCTCTGCTGGACCAATTTGTAGGTTTACCTGTATGTTTTTCTTAAGCGTTCATCTACCGTTAAAACAAGTTAAGATTAAGATTAAGAGATCCTTTATTCATCCCACAGTGCGGAAATTTCAAAGTCATCCTACAAAGTGAACACAAAGGTTGTCCCGTAATTAGAAAATAACCCTAATTGTGCTACAGTCAATGTACAAGCAGATCTCCAAGCCGCTATCGCTATGATCGCCACTGCTGATATTTCTATATGGTGTCATAGCATAACAGACAGGCACAAATGTAACTCATTTAGGAACTAAACTGAACTAATACCAAAGAGTTCAAACTCGTGACCTTTCGCAGGTGGGGAGAAGATGACCCTGTCCATCTCTGTGCTCTTGGCTCAGTCTGTGTTTCTGCTGCTGATTTCACAAAGACTTCCAGAGACCTCCATGTCTGTGCCTCTCATTGTCAAGTACGTCAGCACACTACTACACTCCTGCTATCTCAACATGGATAAGTGCTCAGTCATCCAGAAGTACACATTAAATATTAGGCCAAACATTGTTAGACTTACAAACTGTACACCTAATGGCTGCCAGAGCAATCATTGAAGGGTCAGCACTAGATCATATACGGAATCGGGATGGAAGCGGAAGTAAATATAACAATTGACCTATTTATGCCTAAACTTAACCAGCCATTCCCATAAAATAACTCCAACCCACCCTTAACCCTAACCTTAACCATCTTACTCAGACGCCTAAAACTTAACTAGTCCTTATTAGTCTAAAAGTAATTCGATTGTTACTTCCGGTTTTGTCCCGACTCCGTATATGATGTAGTGCCAACCATCATTGAAGGTGCTGAACAACCTGGATTGTAGCAGCATGTGTGATTCAGCATATACAGCTATAACCATATTGTAGTCTTTGCACAGGTGGTAATGTAAGTAAAGTAATTTAATTAAAATTAAAATATATTTGTACAGTGGAAGGTTTATATTGTAAATGCACATTCTGGAGGGTAAAGCAAAATTAGTCCCCCAGCTAGATCATTTTCAGAGTCGAAGCCTGTCTCATACTGAAGACTTTTCCATATTCTCCCTGCATAAAATGGAAACACTGACTCTCCATGTCCTGGAGCAGTAGGCGGCACGGTGGCTGAGTGGATAGCACTCTCGCCTCTCAGCAAGAAGGTCCTGGGTTCGAATCCCGGCCGGACCAGGGCCTTTCTGAGTGGAGTTTGCATGTTCTTCCCGTGTCTGCGTAGGTTTCCTCCAGGTACTCCGGTTTCCCCTACCACTAAAAATATGTACAATAGGTCTGGCATGCGCCTCCTGTTCGGCGACCCCGCTCCTGTCTCTGTGTGGAGTGAGAGGACAAGTGCCCAAAAAATAACAATTGTAAACAGCTTTGTGACTCTGGTCTGTGAAAGGCTTTTATATAAATAAAGCTTACTTACTTACTTACTTACTAGGCCAGTCCCTGTGCTCCTCAGAGTCCCAGCAGGAGGCCAGTCCCTGTGCTCCTCAGAGTCCCAGCAGGAGGCCAGTCCCTGTGCTCCTCAGAGTCCCAGCAGGAGGCCAGTCCCTGTGCTCCTCAGAGTCCCAGCAGGAGGCCAGTCCCTGTGTTCCTCAGAGTCTGAGTCGGATCATAAGGCTCTAACATCTAGTCTATTCTTCGAGCCACCACAAACCAGTGCAGAGACCAGGACAAATGTCATTGTACTTCCTGGTTTTAGTTAAGACTGGAGCATTCCCAATGTATTGCTGCTGATGTAAACACAGAGAACATGTTGGTAACCTGAGCTTTGTGGCAGATATTTGATGTTCATCATGGTGCTGGTCACAGTGGTCGTGCTGAACTGTGTGGTGGTCCTCAACCTGCACTTCAGGACCCCGAGCACGCACGTCATGACGGCTTGGACCAAATGGGTACGGAGCACTCTCCAGACTTCTAGTCTTTTTGGAGGCTGTAGACCTAGCAAAAGCTAAATAATCGTCCTTGGGATAAACAAATAAATAAAATAAAATCTCAACACAAGCATGTGAACATAATTTACAGTAGTTTCTGGAATATAAACCTCTCGTTCAGCCAAAGATGCTTAATAAAGAAGAAAAAAACATGTATAAGTCGCACTAGAGCAGGGGTCACCAAATGGCGGACCGCGGTCCAGGTCCGGACCCCGAGACCCTTTTCTCTGGACCTCCGTGTTTTTTTTGTACAAAAGTATATTATTACAATGATGTGTCAAATTTTCACCAAAAGCGATTTGTAAACATGCAGGCGCGAGGGCGGCAATGTGGGGTCCTTCGAGAAAACTTTACGGAGCTATGAAAATAACTTTAGCAGTGTCTCCGAGTGAGAGTCAGAGACGTGAAAGAGACGGGAATGAGCCATGGGCGCTGTGTACGGAGCGATGGACGCTCGCGTTCAGCTGCTCACACTGACTGTGTATGAGCAAAGGAGGAGGAGGAGCGAGACAGAGGTGTGTGAGGAGGAGCAGCGAGGAGGAGGAGCGACACAGAGGTACACATCAAAAACATATTAAAAGCATTAAAGGAATAGTTCACCGTTTTTACATACTGACATATGTTCTTACCTTACCTTAGACTAGTTAATATGTACCTGTCTGGTCTTAGTCCGTGCGCTCTGTCATGCAAACGGAGCAAAAACGGGAGCACAAACGCAGCCTCCTCTGTATACTGTGTAGGACCAAAAGGTAGCTCCCACTAGAAGCTATCAAACTCTTCCAAGTGTTCCCTATTAAATGTATATAGTTACGTGACGTGTTACACTGCAAAGTATAGTAACACAGCAATGTAACAGTCAATTTTCTCAGCGGATAAAGCGGGTACTATATTGTGAGGCGTAGTAATCTGAGGAGCGCTACGTCCGCGCACTAACTTCTCTCCGGAGACTTCTCTCTCGCTCACTTCCGTCAATAGAAGCAGCGTGACTTGTAGTACACACAGTAGCAGCGAGAGAGAAGTCTCCGGAGAGAAGTCTCCGGAGAGAAGTTAGTGCGCAGTGGGCTGCGTTTGTGGTCCCGTTTTTGCTCCGTTTGCATGACAGAGCGCACGGACTAAGACCAGACAGGTACGTATTAACTAGTCTAAGGTAAGGTAAGAACATATGTCAGTATGTAAAAACGGTGAACTATTCCTTTAACAAACAGCGTATGCCCTACTTTAGTGCTCACTGAGTGCAGTGGATTTCTGGCATAAAAAGCCTTGTTGTGGTCAGAGTGTGTAGAGCAGTGTTTTTCAACCTTTTTTGAGCCAAGGCACACTTTTTTCACTGAAAAAATCTTGCGGCACACCTCCAGGAGAAAATGTAAAAATGTATACAGTACTAATGTAAAAAAATATATACTGTACATACTCTGTGTGATATATAAAGTATATCTTATCTTATAATGTATACAGTATACTCTGTAGCCTATATTCACAATATACAGTTATTCTCATCAAAATGCTTAAGTCCAGGCCTTGAAATTAAGCTTTATTTAATATTTCTCGATACAATTAACAAGAGTTTGGGAATAAAGTGGCACTAACTGTGTGGAAAAAAACTAAGAAAATCCACTCTCTGCCCAAATAGTCAAATAATAACTCACACAAAGAACATGCATTGTTAGTGCATGGGAAACATTTTGGTATCCGAGCTTTAAATTCAGGAGTTTTGGATGAGGGACACGGGAGGTCCTGAACGCGAGTCCATGGTTCTGTCCGGTCCGCATGTCTGTGGTTCTGTCCACTCGACTACGGTCTGCGCTCGGTACCCAGTTCAGAAGTGCGTTCGCGAGAGCTGTTGTACAAAAATTGTACATTTCATAGTTAAACCACTACAACGCGGCCACAGCTGCCCCGGGGCAGAGCGGAGGATGTTAATCCTGTTCAGAAACGGCATAATTCATTTTCAAAAACGTCTCTATCACTTTCACTTCTCACTCGCCACAAAGCTCTTGTCTCGCTCCCTCCCACATTTGTTGGTCGCATCCAATTTTACCTTTCTCGCCACAATGCTGACCTGTTACAGCCAGTGGTCGCATCCAATTTTTCAGTTTCAAAGTACTTAGCTATCTGCTGCCATCTACTGATTTGAAAAAGTATTACATGGTTACTCACAGTTCAAAACAAGTCACCGCTCGTCAACAGCGAATGCAGCTATTTTTAGACAAAGTAGACGAATTTCTCACGGCACACCAGACAATATCATACGGCACACTAGTGTGCCGCGGCACAGTGGTTGAAAAACACTGGTGTAGAGGAGGAGGAGGTCAAAGTGTGTGTAGAGGAGGAGGAGGTCAGAGTGTGAGGAGGAGGAGGGGGTCAGAGTGTGAGGAGGAGGAGGAGGGGGTCAGAGTGTGAGGAGGAGGAGGGGGTCAGAGTGTGAGGAGGAGGTCAGAGTGTGAGGAGGAGGAGGAGGGGGTCAGAGTGTGAGGAGGAGGAGGGGTTCAGAGTGTGAGGAGGAGGTCAGAGTGTGAGGAGGAGGAGGAGGGGGTCAGAGTGTGGATCCCCTGATCCTCCACAATCATCATGTGTTGCACCCTCTACTCTGAGAGTTTGGGAGAGGTTTGTGGTGTGTTGTGTAGAAATAAACAAAGTACATTGCTGTTATGTGTGAATTATACACATCTATATTTAGATTGTATTCATTTTTTTTTTTCAAAGAGTTCTTACTACTATAGTCGTCGTTTAAGGTTGAAGCTTGAATGGATTTATATGAAATAAAATATTTGTCTGATGTCCGGACCCTGATCTATTGAACTAATCAAGTAGGTGGACCTCGTGCCAATTTAATTGGGGACCCCTGCACTAGAGTATACTGTAAATATAATTTTTTTGGGTAAATTCATTTGATAACATTTAACACCAAGAATAGACATTTCAACTGAAAAGACATTTTAAATAGATTAAAGCCGCAAGCGGCGTCGCACGGCCCTCGCCACCCCGTGCAACTCCCTGCACCGTGCCTCGCCTCCCCGCACCGCGCCGCATTGCCCCGCCCCGCACCACCCCGCACCACGCCACCTTGCACCAAGCCGCCCCCTACCACGCCGCACCGCGCCGCACTGCACCACACCATGCCACACCGCCCCGCACAGGCCCACACCACACCGTACCACGCCATAGCGCAAAGGAGATGGTGCCTCCCCGGCCCGCGCAACTCTCACTCCAGTGGGTCAAATACTGTGTGAGATCAAACAACAGAAAAACTAAATGCGCTGTGTCCCCTATGTAAAAGTTTTACTCAGCCTGTAGGGGGCGCTAATGGGACAATGTCATTGTTCACACTTTCAGGCGACCTAGGCCCAGGAGTTGAACAACCGAGTCAAGTTTAGTGCAAATCAGACTTAGTAAATGCCATTCTCACCCATGTAAAACTTGACTCAGTCTGTAGGGGTTGTAGGGGTAATGCTGAAATTTAATGTTTTACACTTTCAGTTTACCCAAACCCAAAAGTTTAACAACCGATTACAATTTGGTGCAATTCGGACTTGGTTTGGGCAAAAGCGAGCTATGTTTCTATCGTCAAAATGGGGAAAAAAGGTCACATTTTGCCGCTCCGCTGCTCAAACAACGTTTTACTGATCAAAATTCCCTGAAGTCGTTTTGATGGTACATGTGTTGAGATGATGTAGAGCGATTTTCGGCCAAATCTGTGAAACGGCCGAGGCTGGTTTGATGTTTGTGCGAGGTGCACATTTGCCATAGACAATGAATTGGGAGACTTTGTCGTCGCCACGGCAACAGGGTAAAAAATAAGCCTTGGGCCCTTTTGACATTTTGAATCAAGAGGGCAAAACAAATGTATGTGCAAAATTTCAAACATTTTGAAACAACTAAATTTGAAAATTCCCATATAAAACTTTGAAATAGTCTGTAGGGGGCGCTAATGTGTCAATTTGAAACATTTCACTTTCAAATGACCAAGACCCTAGAGTTGAACAATGTATTCAGGTTTTGTGCAAATCAGACTTTGTTTGTGCAAACGGGAGCAAATTTAATACTGTCAAAAACAGCCAAAAAAAGGTCACATTTTGCCGCTCCGCTGCTCAAACAACGTTTCACTGATCAAAAATCCCTGAGGTCATTTTGAAGGTACATGTGTTGAGATGATGTGGAGTGATTTTGAGGCGAATCGGTGAAACGGCCGAGGAGGAGTTGCTTTCCAACCAACATGTATGAAAATTATTGCTGTTAATTTTTCCATTTTGCAGTGACATTTATGGGCTTCCTGTTGGTCAAAGGGCGGGGCCACAATAATATTTTCTTCTTGTCTTGACTTGAGGAACATGTGTACCAAATTGCATGACTCTACAACAAACTTGATGATCAAATTAAGGCTCAAATTGCAGGAGAAAAAAGAAACCAAACCAAGGATTTTTTTTTTGACGTCTCGACCAAAAACTTTATAGGTTTCAATGGCACGTGATACATCATTTTAAAGCGTTTGAGTTTACGCACGCAACCGTCACGTTGTGGTGAGTGACGGATGCACCGCCACAATTTGCATTCACCATTGTGAAAGCAATAGGCCCTTACCCCGTTCAGGGATCGGGCCTAAAAATAGAAAAGAGAACCACAGGCTGAATAAGCGTACGTTATAAGATTCATAAACAACAAAATGAGAGTTAGCAAATAGAATATTCTACAAGTTTACCAAAGAATCAGTGTCACTCCTAATCACTAAACCCAATGAAATCTTCTCCTTCAGTGTCTCTTCTGAACAACTAAATATATAATGTAATAATTTCACACATAAGTCGCTCCAGCCCTAGCCAAACTATGACAAAACTATGACAAATAATCTGAAAAATATGGTTGAATTTGTTTTATTAGATTAAAATTATATTTTTAATTAGTTCTGAGTCTGCACCAGAGTCATGCCAGGACATTTCCTTTAACCCAAACTGTTACAAATTTTGCTTATATTCATTATTATTTATTATAAGTAAAGTCAAGTTCCCTGCTGTAGTTTTTCCTGGAGCGCCTTCCCCGGATCCTGCGCATGTCGAAGCCAGAGGATTCGGAGCCGTTCTGGGACGGAGCGCTGCCTCGGCGCTCCAGCTCCGTGGGATACATCGCCAAAGCAGAAGAATACTACAGCGTCAAGTCTCGCAGCGAGCTCATGTTTGAGAAGCAGTCAGAGAGACACGGACTGTCGGCCCGCCCCACACACGCAGGAGGTATGACCTGGACTGGCCAGGACTGACCCAGGACTGACCAGGACCGACCCAGGACTGACCCAGGACTAACCAGGACTGACACAGGACTGACCCAGGACTGACCGGGACTGACCGGGACTGACCCAGGACTGACCCATGACTGACCATGCAGGACTGACCCAGGACTGACCAGGACAGACCCAGGGCTGGAGTCTTTGGCCCTTTGTGTTACAGCCCTTGATGAAAAAGTTTGGGCACCCTTACACTGGACTTTGTCCCATTTTTTGTTGATAGGACTTGTATATTTATAAATTATGATGCACATTGTCAACAGCGTAGAAATCAGTTGGCCTGTTTTTATTTATGCCTGTGCGTTTTCAGGGCAAACCCGTGCCTTGGAGACATGTATGAGCTGGAAGTAGATTCACAACATTGAAACTTTCCAGAGAGTTTCATGAGAGTCCTTTGTGTGTGCTCAGTGGTGAAGCCTCCAGTGGAAGGAGGGGAGACCGATCAGCTTTATGCAGAAATCAAACCAGCTGTGGACGGAGCCAATTACATCATCAAACACATGCGCAACAAGAACGACTACAACGAGGTCAGATATTGTATTTTCTACTCGGCTCACTCCACGCTAAACTTTACAATGTGTCAATCTTACTTCAAGCTGCAATGTGCCTAATAAGTGTTTAATACTATCGTAGGTTTATAGATATAAATAGGATTATCTCCGATGGCAACACACAACCAGTTCAAGAAAAATGGATGCCTTTCAAAAAATGGTGTTGAACTTTGAACATGTTAGAGGCTTTGTGAATGGAATAATGAACAGGACAGGGAAGACAATTTAATGGCTAATGGTTGAGGATATAACTATAATCAACCTGTAATTACAGATTTTACAATATGCAAAAAAATATTATTCAATAACTGCAGACAACCTGGGTCATAACAATTGACCAAGCTGACCAATAGGGGTCAAGAAGGGGCTTAATTTGGAAAAGATAAGACGAATAAACTTTAAAACTTGTATCTACTATTGTAATAGCAGCAGAAACATATTTATCCATACAAACAAAACAAATAAATACGGAAATCTAAAAGTAGCTTACAATAGTAATAAAATGCACCAGCACTTTAGGTCACAGCAGAGGAGATGGTGTAGCGTTGGGTGGAGCAGGTCAAAGGACAAGAGCAAAAACTGCTGCTCAGTTTGACTGAAAGTGTAAATCTTGTTGTGACTCCGTAGGAGAAAGACAACTGGAGTGGCATCGCCCGCACAGTGGACCGCCTCTGCCTCTTCCTCGTCACTCCTGTCATGCTCTTTGGCACAATCATCATCTTCCTCATGGGGCTGTTTAACCACCCCCCTCCCCTGCCCTTTAAAGGAGACTCCCACAACTACAAGGAGGAGAACCCACGCTTGCTGCACTAGCACTACTGTAAACATGAGGTGAAGACCAGGTAACAACATTCATGAATAAAGAATGTTTGAATGGCCTACAATGATACAATGATATGTATAGTCCTAATAATACAGAATTCATTATTTATTTAACCTAAAAAGTCTGCACATGTACACATGTATGTACTACTTTACTACTATTCAGTCAATAAAACTTTGATGCCATTTCCGGTCAGGTACGTTGCCAATTTAGGGAGAGTTATTTTAATTCAATGACAGCATATTTTCTATATTTTCTACTATTGTAGAAATATCCTCAATGATTCATGAAAACGGAGTTGCATTTTTTTGTGGTAGTAAAAAGTACATAAGAACAAGCATTTGCAAATGCTGAAAGCTTCTGCAGTCCGCTCTTCGGACCCTGCATCAGTCTCTCTCACGCACAATGGGATTCACACAAGCTTTATCAGAATGGTCAAGTCCCTCATTGGCCACAGGAAAAACACATCTACACTGATTACATGAAAATAGGTAACTGAAGGTAGGAAGAGCAGAGAAACAAGGGGGGTTAAAGGGGACGGAAAGGACGGGCAGAGGACGCAGGAACAGGACATTGTCCTCTTCTAAGATCACATCATCCACATGAGAAGGAAAACAGTCACATCAAAGGAGATGGTCAATGACTGTCCAATAACTTACACAACTGCATCTAAACTTACTTAAACATCATCCCAAACACCTTCCTGCCATAAAACAAAGCCATTTGTTAAAATCACATTTCACCCACTATGCTTAAACCATGTTCATGTCATTTTAATTACACTCCATTATCCCCATAACAACACTATACGATTGTTTTACAGTAGTGCTAATAGATGAAAAGCCAAATGTGGACTGAGTTTCTTGTTACGGATATATCCACCGTAGTTTGAATTGTTGTGAATATATTTTATACATATTTTTACTGTATATATTACCGGCACCAGCCCTAGGGGAAGCTGGGCAGTAACAAGTGCGCACACAGATGACTTCTCTGTGACGCTTATTTAACTGGAGCTGTGGATAGACAGAGAGGACACATGTTTATCAGGCCACAGCTTCTTTACTACTGAGTCATTCAAATCAACATTAATACACACAAAAATACACAATTGGACCACAAAAATAAATTATAAATTGACAAAAATAATAAATGCTAAAATAACCCAAAAAGTGCAACTGAAAATACATATAATTACATAAAATAATAAAACATACATTTATACATTCACTCCATACCACACAACAGCTACTTCAGTACAGAAAATGCATAAAAATAGACATTTCACTTATAATTCCTATCTGTCTCTCTTAGTCTCTATCTCTCCCTGCCTCACACACACACACACACGCAGGTCGGCCATTTTAACAGAATGCGCCTCCAACGGCGGGAAAAAGTCTCTGGTTTAACGGCTAGAAAAAACTACTAGCACTTGAATCTTAAAACTGTCTGCACTCGCAACACAAACTAGGTAATAACACTTATACATACACATACACCACGCGTTAGCATATTAACTGCTTGGATAGGACTTGAAACACATCACTACTACTACTTTACTTGACTCAAACATGACATACAAACGTTAGAAACGGGACTACAGAACACAGTATAAAAATGCGTTCCTAACGTTTGCTAGGCCCTCAAAACTACTTAACTGTACAATTTGTGCACATAAAAAAATACATAGCATATGGTGACCAAGTTTAAAGTTAATAAAAACAACTTTTGAACCATACCTGTGGATAGACAGAGAGGACACATGTTTATCAGGCCACAGCTTCTTTACTACTGAGAGCTGCGCCTCCGCTGTCCCTCTAGTCACCACAGTAGCGCTACAGCACCACCTACTGGTTGGAGTGGGTATGTTACGCAAAATAAAACACTTATAAAATTACAAAAAAATAGAGGGGGTGTCTGTTTCCACAACAAAAACATTTTATGAGGCATTTTCTAACCTACTACACTCTCCCCTGCTTTTAAAAGATGACTCCGGCATCTTACACAAAGTGTCTCAAGATAAGTAACACACAGTCTTTAAAGAATCATAGTACTTGGTCTGCTAATGAAAAAAAAAAAGGTCACTTAAGTAAACTCTAACATGTCCACATTGGGGTGGGATAGTAGTACATGTCAGGTTGTGTTGGGTAACAGGGCATAGGATAGGCAAACATCATGTTCGCTGCCGGTCTCCATGCTTGGTATGATGGTTGTCCCAAATGAGTGTAAGTGAACATTTCTCTTGGCTTAACTGTTCGGACTGATTTGCGAACTGTTTCCTCATGTGATTTTGTATCAAACACTGTATTAGGCAGTTGTTCCATTTCCAAATCAGTTATATTGTCCATTACGGGTAATTCCTCAGCTGGAATTGGGTCGAGTGGCTCTGGCCTTGGTCCTGATTCCATTTCGACAGCTGGGATTGACACATTTGGATTCTGTATGTCAATTGGTGGTTGTGCACTTCCCTCTTGCACATGACTCGTTTGAGTGCTTTGTCTTTCAAGTTGAAATACAGGTGCTGTGGCCCTGAGTTCACGATGTGACTGAGGTTTGCTTTGATACACAGGCGCAGGTGGCCAGTTGTATGTTAATTCTTCCTCCTCATCTGACTGTTCAGATTCAGGGTCAACAGCTTCCTGATTTTGTCTACGTTCTTTTCTTTGTTTTTGTCTTGTCCGGTTCATCTTTTGACTTTGTTCTTCCTCAAGTGGTAAGTCATTGACTGGTAATAGGAGGTTTCTATGTAAGACTCTGAGATTTCGGTTTCCTGTCTCTGCTTGAACTTTGTATACAGGACCGTCACCCATTTTTTCAACAACTTTGTGAACACATTTCTCCCAGTAAGCTCTTAGTTTTCCAGGTCCTCCTCGTTCTGAGAGGTTCCGGACCAGTACTCGGTCCCCTGGTTGTAACGGGATGCCTTTGGAATGTTGGTCATAGTACCTTTTACCTTTTGCTGAGCTCTTTTGGCTGTTTTCAGAAGCAATTTTATAAGCTTCTCGCATACGAGTTGCCCATTTTTCAGCATATTCTTCTTTTGTTTTACAGTCACTTTCAGGTTTTAGGTCAAACAACAAATCAACTGGCAATCTCGGCATTCGACCATACAGAAGGAAGAAGGGTGAGTATCCAGTCGCTTCGTGTCTGGTACAATTGTATCCATGGAGAATGTGTGGCAAATGATCTTTCCATTGTGTTTTCTTTTCTTCCTGCAGGGTTCGTAGCATTTGTAGAATAGTCCTGTTTAGACGTTCAACAGGATTTCCCTGAGGATGGTAGGGGGTAGTTCGAGAGTGAGCTATTCCTGCGAGTTGTTGGAGTCTTTGGAATAGGAGGTGTTTTCGAATTCCCGACCCTGATCGTGGTGGAGCTTTTCAGGATACCCAAACCTCGGGATGAAGTCATAGAATATTTTCTCTGCCGCAGTTTTGCCTGACTTATTTTTAGTTGGATAAGCTTGTGCAAAACGCGTGAAGTGGTCTACTAGAACTAATATATACTCGTAACCACCTTTACTTGGTTCTAGGTGAATGTAGTCAACCGATACAAGTTCAAATGGAGCACTTGTTGTGATTGAACCCATTGGAGCTTTTTCAGGAACACGTTTTTGTTTAAGACAGTGCACTGGCGAATTACATAATCTTCTATGTCACGCTGCATGAAGGGCCAATAAAAGCGTTCACGTGCTAGATAAATGACTTTATCTGCTCCTACATGACCCATATCGTCATGCAAATGTTTCAAAACAGTTTTTTTCAAATTGTCTGGTAAAACAAACTGTTTCCTTTTGTCAGTGAATCTGTACAACAGTCCTTTCTCCAGTTTTAATCTGTTCCACTCATGTATTAGTCTCCTTGTTTCATGTGTCATTAATCTCTTGTCCTTTTCATTTGGAGTCCATCCTTTCCTTTTTAACTGTATCACTTCACAGATAGACTTGTCCTCATTTTGAGCAGTTCTGAGATCTTCAGGTGAAATGACAGGGGTGCCTGTAGTGTCTGGTTCATTTGCATTCAAGTTTAACTGTAAAGCAGCAACCCAAGGCACTTCACTGTCTCTGATTGCTTTGTCACCTTGCCAAATGGCAGAAATAACTTCAGGTGGCATTGTCTCTGTATATTCTGACATGTGATCAGACAGTATAACTGGGTATCTTGACAGTGTGTCAGCATCAGCGTTTGACTTTCCAGGGCGATACTTGATAGTAAAATGAAAATCAGCTAGTTCACCAACCCAGCGGTGCCCCACTGCATTCAACTTGGCCGTGGTCAAAATATATGTTAAAGGGTTATTGTCAGTGAAAACGACAAAGGTAGGGGCATAATAAAGGTAATCCCTAAATTTGTCACAGATCGCCCACTTAAGCGCGAGAAACTCAAGCTTTCCGGAATGGAGGTGATAGTTTCTTTCCGCAGGCGTTAGTGTTCTGGACCCATATGCAATGACACGGAGTTTGTTGTTCTGTTGCTGATAAAGTACAGCACCCAGTCCTTCATTAGAGGCGTCTGTATGGAGAACGAAAGGCAAGTCAAAGTCTGGGTATGCTAAAATAGGTGGACTAGTAAGCATATCTACAAAACGTGACACAACTGCACTGTGTTCTTGAGTCCAGTTAACCGGTGTTTTGGAAGGAAGTTGACCATTACTGTTTTTCTTGGATCTGCCGGGTTTAGTGGGCCTACTTTGTTTTTCACTAGGGCCTTCAACAAGTTTATAAAGTGGCTTGGCCAATCTGGAAAAGTCCTGAATAAATGTCCGATAGTATCCTAAGAAACCTAGGAGAGCTCTAACTTCTCCAACATTCTTTGGTTCTCTGTCCCTGAGCTGATAAACAGCTTCTAGATCTTTGGGGTCTACCTGGATACCTTCACTAGTCACAAGACGGCCTACATATCTGATTTGACGTTTAAAAAGTTCACACTTGTTAGGGCGTAACTTAACACCATGTTCTCTAAGTCTTTGTAGAACACGTCTTAAGTCGTTTACG